ATCCGTGCCGGAAATCGCGTCTCCGACTTTGCTACTGCTCCACCACGCAGATCTGTTCGTCTTTTCGACTAAGAAATGTTCTTTTGTCAGAGTAGAGAAGTTCAGCAGCTCTTAAGGATATTTTTTTAATTGGCTCTTTTTAACTGTTCTGGGAGATGGCGCAGTAATTTGCGCGTAATTCTATCCTCGGCACTTTCTCAGACTACTCCGGACGGGAAGCTATTGCATGAGATGATTCTGGTGTGTGATGCATATCGCAAGGATTTACAGCATCCCAATGAATTCATTCGAGGATCCACCCTCAGGTGATTGGCTTTATTTTTTGCCAAAATCCTCACAATATATGTACATATGCAGAATGTAGCAAAACTTGGTAGATGGTACAGTAAGTTGTTTAGTGAAGCACTGGGTTCTGATCGGTGCGTGACAGATTTTGCCAATGCAACTCATTTGTGCAACAAAAACTAAGACACAGTAGATTGGAGCGAGCGAGCGAATTGCGGAACTGTGCAGAAGCACAGAGCCAAACGAATACTGTGAGGACGGCCGGGGCGATGTGCAAAATAGTAAAGTTAGATGGAAGTGACAAACTCGGAGTGGGGCAGGCTGAAAAAGCAGCCAGTTAGTAGTGTACGGGTGGCGAGAAGGAACGAGATTATGGGAGCAGCAGCTGGCTGAACTGTCCAGTTTTTTCAGATTTCTGTGTAAACTGCGTGAGCCGGAACTTCTGGAGCCGTTGATGCCTGCAATACGTTCCTGTCTCGAGCATCGCCACGCGTACGTTCGACGGAACGCTGTCTTAGCAATATTCACCATTTATCGTGAGTATTACTTCCCGGAGGTCGCTCTGTTGCAAATTTCAAGCAGTCATGTGCTGCCCGGCAGTTTCAGGTAATTTCGAATTCCTGATCCCAGACGCGCCGGAGTTAATATCGAATGTGCTGAACAGTGAGCAGGATGCATCGTGTAAGCGGAATGCATTTATGATGTTGCTTCATGTGGATCAAAGCCGGGCACTGGATTATCTGTCTGAAGTGATGGATCAGGTCACTGCATTCGGTGACATCCTCCAGCTTATCATCGTTGAACTTATTTACAAGGTTCATTTAATGTTTGGGTGTTCTGGTCTTTTCTTCTTTTGGTATTTTGCATGCTCTTCGTGCAATCAGAATGCCAGAACTCTGCTCACATCGAGATGCGGAGGCACCTGTAGCTGGTGCGGTAGCACATGCCGCCAGCAGTCATCTGTTGGCAGCACTCACGATGCCACCCTCTCTTAAGAGTAGCTTATCGAAGGGCTAATTGCGGGTCTCTATCTCTCTCTCTCTTTGGCGTACTAGAAGAAATATATATATTCTTCGATTATTCCAATCTTTTTTTTTTATCCAAGTCGGGATTTGTATTCTGTTATAGTTCAAATGGCGGTGTTTTCTGTTCGGATGAACCCCCTCCCCCCGTACACTCGTACCGGAATGGCTCATCTGGTACTGGTCAGCGCAGTAGTTAGCGTCTGCTGGGAACAGATGCTCAGCGAGTTTGTGTCTATCTTTAATGTTTGTATTTCCAAGAGGCAAAATGGACGTACGAAGTTTTCTCGCGAAGTACTTTTTTTAGTTAGACGATCTCCTATGTCTTATTTTGCAGGTGTGTCATGCGAATCCTTCGGAGCGTGCCCGTTTTATTCGCTGCGTCTACAATCTTCTGCAGTCGTCGTCGCCAGCGGTGAGATACGAAGCAGCTGGCACCTTGGTCACGCTGAGTTCCGCTCCAACAGCTGTCAAAGCAGCAGCATCAGCTTACATTGATCTTATTGTTAAAGAATCTGATAATAACGTTAAGGTTGTTTGGCGAACTTTATCAATCATAATCTCTATCATATTCAAAACTACTGGAGTTGTCGCGTCTTTCTGTACCAGAATCGA